ATTTTACAGCATTCTGCATTTGATTTCTTCATCCTTAAAGAAAAGATGTCCCTCTCTAGTAAAGATATCGTTAGAAAATTGCAAGCATCCCATCCCTCTTGAATGCTTACACAATTCAAGACCAACAATTGAACAAGCCTCAACTCCTTTTTCTCGTGAAACGAAACCTACATTCACAAACCTAAAACACAATCGGGAAGAAGAGAATTTCCCATACCTGTTAATTTTGTTGGTTTGCGTTGGCGGACTTCGGTTCGCGACAAAATGGCTTTGCAAGGTTTGTTTACACAATGTAGTTGAGGCCTTTGCAATTGTTTGTATTGAATTATTGCACGGTGCATTAAAAAAAAACATTTTCTTCACTTAAGGATTCAACAATCAAAGCAACCATTGGTATCCATCAACAAAGAAATCTTCAAATCGTTACTTTGAAGTCCGTAAGGAACACTGCGTTCAATAAATCATCGCTAAAATTAATATCGTATTCGTTTATTATTCAGTTCCAACCTGTTTCGTGTAACAAGATTGTATCTGCTTATTTTCTAACAAACGTCAGTTTGTTTGTTTGCTTTTAAAACCAAGCTCAGGTTGAGGTTCGCACTGACAAAAAGTTCGGATTCGCGCTGATTTTATCAAAGGTTCAGCTGTTGGTTCCATGATGGTCCTTGCAAATTTTTCGGAGCAATTAAAAAATCTAAGATTTTCGCTTCACTTTTCGCACGAAACGTAACCACGTTGAAAATGTATGTGTTTTGACAGTAAAATTCTCGTGAGCTTGTCAATTGTGAGTTGTGTCAGTTTTCAGATTTATTAAGCATCGTACACAATGACACGTACGTAAAAGAGAATTGATACTGTGCGGCTTTAATTTGCAAGTTAAGAAATGGCATTTTTGAAGATAAACGGATATTTTTCTACATTGTAACGTAACAGAACCCACATATTTATTTGTTACAGGAAAATGAAAATACAATGTTTTCTTCAAAATGTTTCGTATGTTCTGAACTTAACAACTTTTAGCAAGAACAGGAAAATGAGGGAGCATTATTCTCACTTTCCACTTATGAATGTTCAACAGAGATGATCAGTGAGTGAATGAATTTGCTACTCTCTCCTTGTCATTTAATCTAACTGTTATAGATGGCTTTTATGAAGACGGTCTAGTGAGGTAAAGGTGTTTCCAAGTGATATGCTAGTTGACCGTCATTTTTAAGAGGTGAGGGTAATGTGAGGATGACCGTCATGGTACAATAACCGTTATGATAATGCACAGCACTGGTTGTGAGTCACTTTTACTCATTCGTATGGAGACATTTTTAAAAGCGCTCAATTTTGTTTTCCATGCGGATGAGTACAAGATACTCACTCTCAGTAGGATTAATTTTCAGTGTAGTCATGATGTCGACTACCTGTAGAAAAAAACCGGAAAATCAGGGAACTTCAGGGAAATAATTTTTAGACCTAAAAGCTCAGGAAAGAGCGGGAAAGATTAGGGAATCTCAAAGAGTTTCATTCAAATTCAGGGAATCATTTCTTAATCACAGAAACTGATTAATAATTTTGACTAGCTTCGCTAGTTTCCAGCAACTTAATTACTCAGTGCAGTTTGAGAATGGTTGTTCACTTCAAATGTTAAATAGAGTTTCAAGCTTATAGTTGCTCAATGCATGATGTTGCATTTTTGCAAGTTGAGCAAAAATGTTGGGCCTAATATCAATTCTTCTCCCACTGTACTGTGATGTATTTTACAAACATTTAAGGAATTTAGTTATGAAGAGAATAGTGTGGGAAAAATCCACCTTCAAGACGTTTGCGCCACCTCTAAATGTTTTTTTTTTTGCTTTACTCTCGAGAACATCTCTTTTCAAGCCATTTGGAACTAGAAAAACGAAACGCATTTTAGGTTTCCTGAACATTTGAAAAATAAGCCGTACTCTAGTAGACAATCATTCATACAAAGTTTTAGAAATTTTGATGGACTGCTGACACTCGACAAACCCCCCTCCCCTTAGGTCACTTATTTCATGAGCCACAGCTTGAGCTTGAAGCTTGAGCTTGATTGACCGCCCACGGTTGCTACTCTGTTACTGCCAGATCAGCTGTAATTACACAGAGAACCAACAGACGATGCTTGGGACTAGTAATCATCCTCAATGTGTAAAAACTGGTGATCTTAAATTAGGCAATACCAGCGCCGGCCGCACCCGAACACAGGTCAAGAAAGGAATGGGAAGGATTGTGTTGACATGACACTCGCTTTGATGGAAGCCGAGAACACCTCTGCACTTCCACGAGGAATCACTGGGATGTTGGATAAGAGGGTTGGGTTTGCAGCAGGGTTCGTTTTGGTAAACGATAAGCTGAATTGATGTCCTAACGATCATATAACGCGAAGAAGCTTGGGACTAAACCCACGGTCTTCTGCTCAGTAAGCAAAAACGTTTGCCACTAGACAGACGAGCACCTTTTTAATCACCGAGTTGCTGTTATTACCATGTAGTCATATTAACAAATGAAACGATTGACGAATCTTGAATGTGGATGGGCCTGAGATTAGACTCATGATGTTCTGCTCAGTAAGCAAAAACGGTTGCTCTAAGACCACCGAACCCCTCATATCACATAATACCGTTGCTCAAATTTGTGTATCCATTCAAACCCGGAACCAACGACAACAACGAGTTTCGCAAAATACACGATCACAAGCGATTTTACCATAAATCTTTTTGATATGTAAGGACCTGGGACCGCGTTTTTCTGCTCAGTAAGCAGGCCACTGTAACCGCCGATCTTTCAAATCCGAAAACTAAAAACTACGAAAAAGTACTTAGGCCTTCATGAAGTTCCACTTTCACGCGACGTTCAATGACAGGGTCCTATCCAGGATTACATCTGAAAAATCCAAATCTGACCAACGCCCACCTAAACCTGTTCTAATCCACCTGAAATGACTAACGAATGGAAGACTTTCACTACCCAGCCATGCAATAGTCTCATTTCGTGCCTTATGGCAACTTGATGATTCTATTGCGCTCAATTTTTGGCACCACCCAAGGGAGACTTGGTCCTGTACCCAATGCTTAACTTATCTCCATTCCACTCAGCTACTCGCAATTTCTTGTGATATAGTGGGCGGAATATTATTATATGAGACAATTCAATGCAGACGTCTTTCCAAATTTGGCAGATCGACAGGTAATCGGTGAGTTACCACGATAGTTGCTATTCAACAACTCGACAACGTCCCATCGTCAATGCCTGCTATGAGAATTTCCCATTGTTGACGCCAACGAAATGACGTCATCGAGCTATCGATCAACTACCCTGGCTATCGCCTGGTACCTTATAGCACGATGCTAGGAGGTGAACCGGAAGAATCGATGAGCTACCTCTCCCCCCTAGGTCACTTATTTCATGAGCCACAGCATCCAAACTGGAAGTTTTAGCGCTTATACATTAAATATAGTTTAGTTGGTTAAGTACAGCCAAATCCTGTAACCATTGTTTACTTTCGTTTGTTGTGTGACCATATCAGGGACACTCGCCAATTTTGAAGCTTTCGATCTAATATTTAAATCATCAGATTTAAAAAAAAAACCGTGAAAACCAGGGTTACTTCATATAAATTGAACTTCAATTTCAAAACATTCGCTTGGAACAATTGCTGAAATTCCTAGTCCATCCCAATCGGAGAAAGGCGAAGCTGTCAAGCTGCCGATCTTCTTCAGGGAAACCCAACTTATCCGTTTCCCCAAAACACCCAATCCAATCGAATAGTGTTTGAAACTATTCACAAACATTGCTTGCATCTGACAACACTGCCCTCGGCCCTACTCCTACAACATCGCGTCGGCCGGCCACCGACGGGGGCAAAGTCATTTCAACTCGAACCGATCGTTAGTGTCATTCTACATTCCCTCGCTGCTGTCCTGTGCACAAGCACGCACGCACGTAAGTATCTACCGTACCGTTAGGCCGCCGGATTTCGTTCCATTTCTTTTCATGGACACATTTCTCCCACTTCAGTCCCAGCTGTGTACTTCTATTTTCGAAACACCATCTCTCGCACTCTCTGTCCTCTTCCCAACTAAAAAACAAAAAGTCATCCTCCATCAAACAACGAAAACAACAACAGGAAAACTTCTATTCGCTCCCATTCAGCCCAGAGCATTTCGATCTTTTCCCGTCATTTCCTGCTGTCTGTGATTTTTTTTTTTTTTTTTGATCCGCCCTTCGCTAAATGCAAGATCCCTGCGATCACAGAGAAACTCCACCAGTGGCATCGATCGAGCGGTAGAACTCCAACGAGTCCTCCCGAAACCCGAAGAAGACGACGGCAGTTGACGATATTTATCTTCACAGTGTTCCAATTTTGTGTAAAATTTAATTATAATATTTAAAAATAGATAAATTACAACGACGAAGACGACGGCCAAGTCAACGACGAAGTCGTCGTCGTCGTCGTCGTCGGCAGGCTGCATGGCTCAGATGTTTGTGTGTCCCTGCTGCACCCAACGGCGCAGGCGTCGTTGCAGTTAATAGTAGTAGCATCAGTAGCAGCAGCAGCTGGCGAGTAGTGATTTATGACTCCCCAATTGCAGAGCAGGGTGGTAGTTTGGAGGAAGGTGTCACTTGGCGTGCGCGCACCCACCTGTGAGGTGCAGAAAATGAGAGTGCTTCATTGATTAGTAGTAAATGGCTGTCGCTTTTGAATGGGGCCCCGTCGGGATCAAAGTTGAATGACTTCCTCCTCAAATGGGGCGAGGAGGATGATGGTTCGTCCCTGGTGTCGTCGTCGTCGTCCGCCACCCACTATTGTTGATGCTGCAGTGTGTGGTTTACGACGGAGGGAGGGGGTAACGAACACAGATGCAGTGCAGTGCGAACAGATCCCGAAACCCGCGCGCGCGGTGTGATTGTGAGTGCCCCCCGGCGGAGGCACTCACCAACGGAGGAAGGCCGAAAAATGAAAATTCTCGTTTTTCCCGTTTTCATTTTAGTTCTTCTACGAAAACGGCAGAGCGCAATTGGTTATAGACGAAGCATTCCTGAAGGATGCTGGTGTCTACACGCTAACTGCCAAGAATATCGCCGGTGAAAAGTCCTGCTCGTGTAATGTTGTGGTGAAGGGTCGTCTACCGAACGAAACGTCCGATTCTGAATTAGCCAGTGATATGGAACCAGTGAAGCCGTCCGTCCAGCTCCAGCTCAAGGACGTCTCGGTGTTCGAGGGGAAACCGGTACGTCTGGACTGTGTGATCGTCGGTCAGCCGGAACCGGAAGTAATCTGGTACCATGGCGATCGTCCCGTCAAGGAGTCCACCGATTTTCAGCTACTCTTCCAAGGTGACCACTGTTCACTCGTGATCCGTGAGGCATTTTTAGAAGATGCTGGCGAGTATCGTGTTGTCGCTATTAATAGCGCTGGTGAAGCTTCGAGCAAGTGTAATCTAATTGTGACACCGCTGAACATTGCGGAACCAGCCGTACGTCAACCGACCGAGCGTGTCCTGCCGCCATTGGGTGCGCCACCCAAGTTCGAACGCCTTCTGGCTGACATCCTTGCGGCCGATGGCGAAAAGTGTCAATTCGAATGCGCCGTCAGCGGAGATCCCCGACCGAACGTCAAGTGGTTCGTGAACAATCGCGAAATCGAAGAAAACCCGCGTGTCCATTCGGTGTACCGCGACGACGGAGTTGTGAAACTGGTGATCGAACAGGTGTTCCCCGACGATAAGGGTGTCTACACGGCCAAAGCCTCGAATCCGTCCGGGGAGGCCAAGTGTTTCTCGAATCTGATTGTCAAATCGATCAACGCGACCGAATTCGAATCCGTACCGGCATTCCTCAGCGACAGTGTCGTGTGTCCGACGTTCAAGGAATTGTTTGCCGATCGCATTGTGAAGCTCCATGAATCGACCAAATTTGAGTGCATCGTGGTGGGCAAACCCCAACCGAAGATCAAGTGGTTCTTCAACGATCAACCAGTCCATGGACATGATTTTCTGGTGTCAACCAGTGGAGATCGCCAGGTGCTTACCATCCCGGAGATATCTCCAGAGCTTGCCGGAAAGATTACCTGCTACGCGGAGAACGAAGCTGGAAACGCACAATGTGTGGCCTACGTAAAATTGGCTGATGTATACGGAGCAATGCTGCCCATGCAGCCGCTAATTACAGCTGAATCGATGCTACAGGTGGACAATTCCGGTTCATCCTTCGTCACGCTCCAGAAGCAGGTGACCACTTCTTCCTCGTCCTACTCCTCCTCGATGCTGGTCGAGAATGGAGTGTCACAATCCGAGGTTCACTCGCAATCCGCCCATATGGATCGCTCGTTCAAGCAAGTCGGTGACCAAGCTCCAGAAGTAGCCGAGACCAAACAGTTTGCGCAGTTCCACCAGGCCAACGATCAGCCACCGTCGTTCCAGCAGGAAACTTCGATGCTCAACATCGCCAACAACAACGCATCGGAAATGCACGAAACGATCATCGCCAACTCTGGTCAGATCAGTACTGGCAAGCCGGCCAGACGTAGCTCTGCACCACGCTTCGTGTCGCCGTTCAACGGCAAGATCGTAGATCAGGGAGCCGACGTCGTGTTCGAAGGTATCATCGATGGCTACCCGACGGCCGAAGTAAAAGTCACGAAGAACGACGTCGAACTGCAACCAGATGGCGAACGCATCACTGTCTCCTACTCGCTCAACAAGATCGTAGTCGAGCTGAAGAACGTTTCAACGAAAGACGCAGGACGCTACACCGCCACAGCTTCCAACGCCGCCGGTGCCTCATCCACCACTGCCGATTTGGTCGTCAAGAGTAAGACTCGCACCGAAACTGCTTTCTTCCTTCATCCGTCTGTTACTATCTTCTACCTTCTTCTTCTTCTCGTTCTTCTACTGCCACAGAATCTATCTTTCCACCAGTGTTCGGTCGCCGTGTGCAGGCGCAGAGTGTCCGCCGTGGTGATCGAGTTATTCTGGACGCTGAAATTAGCGGAACGCCCGAACCGATCGTCGCCTGGTTCAAAGACAACCGTCCAGTGCAGGAAGCTCTTCGACAAGGAAGCTACGCCCTACAGCAGGTGGGACCGACCTGTAAGTTGATCTTCGAGCAGATTGATTACCCCGATAGCGGCAAGTACATGATCGTTGCCCGCAATACGGGTGGTGAAGCGCAGAGCATTGCCGACGTTGTGGTCATGGAAGCGGAACAACCGCAACCAGCACAACAACCGCAGAAGCATGTGTCCTTCGTGGAGCCGCAGGTAACTATCCGATTCAATTGGTGGCTGACAGTGAGGGGGGAAAATTCAGTGATAAGGGTACTAATCGAACTCAGTGAAGATATCTGTGCCACCGACTGCTCTGTGATTAAATGAATCTTGTTCCCATACAGCCCTAACATTCATGTTTCCGTCTGTGTCATTTTTCTTTTTCACCTCCATCTCTGTGTTTCACTTTCATCTGTCACCAATCAACAACTATGTACACAAACACACAGCCACAACAACCGGGTGAAAGCGTACCCGATGAGTCTGGCTTCATCGCTCATCAAGAGTTCTCCGCCGAATCCAAACTAAAGGGTCCCACCACAGAGTCCACCATCGTGACCGAAACGCGCCGTACGACCGAGGCCACCATGCGAATGGAACACAAGGTCAACTTCCCCGATCTGCCACCGGTGACCTTCTCGCAGCGTACACAGACACCTACGATTCCGCTCCGATCGGAGGGATCCATGGCACAGACCAACGTACAGACGAGCGCTACCAATACAGACCGGATAGCGACACGTACTGACGCCACACAGACACCAATACCACAACCACAACAACAACAACAACAACAGGGCAAAACCGAGGCAACACAGACGCCACCCCAGGTGGAGGCACCCAAACCTCCGCCGGAAGAACTCAAACCCGAAACAACGAAGCGCAGTGCGTTCCAGTACTTTGAAAAGATCACCTCGAACGGAACAGCGGAATCGGTGGCGGTGGCCCCACCACCTCCAGTCTTCAAACCCACATCATTCAAACCACTCAAACCACCACAGGTTGCTAGCGATCAGACACACAAGCTGGTAGGTGAAGAGAAACTCATTTACAACGCATACACTCCCGGTCAAGATATTCGAAGCTATCAGCCACCGGCAGCTCAAGTCCCATCCGAACCGAATAGAACCTTAGAGTCCACCACGACCACGACCAGTAGTAGTAGTTATCAGTCGTCAACGCACCGGGTTGATTTCCTCTCACCCCAGGGCGTCACTGTTCCGACTCCACCGATCTACCACCAAGAACCGCATCAACCGATCATCGAAAAGCACCCCATCCCGAAGCCCGACCCGACCCCGATCCCTCTCCAGGTACCCACGATCATTGCCACCCCCGACGCACCACCTCCCATCTATCGACCTCATCTGGAGCGAGCACGTAGCTCGTCTCCTCGACCTTCAGCCGAAGCCATCGCAATGGAGAAACTTTGGACCACTCCAAAAACATCTGGCTTCGGTACACTACCACGCACCAGACCATCATCCGTCACCACTACTACTCCCACTGCTCGTAAACATTCACTCGTAGAGGATAGTAAACGCTCAAGACCTAAATCCGAATTTCAGCCAATGCAGAGCAGCTTCTTTAGCCAGCAGCAGCTACAGCAGCAACAACAACAACAACTACAACAACAACAACAGCAGCAGCAGCAGATGTATTCGTCTTTCACGACGACTCACCAGCTGCAGGCATCGAACTTGTCCCAGCAGCAGTACTCGCAGAGCATGCAGTACCAGCCATATAAGCCATCCGAACCGCTTCCGGCTCCTCAACCAACCATGCAAGCACCGGTCTTCACTCCACTTCCACAACCGACTCCTCAACCCTTCAAACCTGCTGCTCCTATGCAAACCTTTGCCCCTGCTCCAGCTCCTCAACCGACTCCGCAACCGTTCAAACCTGCTGCTCCCATGCAAACCTTTGCCCCTGCTCCAGCTCCAGCCCCTGAACCATTCTACGCTCCAGCTCCGCAACCCTTCAAACCCGCTGCTCCTCTGCAAACCTTCGCTCCTGCTCCAGCTCCAGCTTCCGAACCACAGTTCATTCCGGTTCATCACTCCCTAGCAGCAGCCACTGGTCCTACGCTCTATTCTGGACCGTCCTACAACCAGACCCCACAGCCGTTCAAGCCTCTCCCTCCACCTTCCATCACTCCAAGCCAGCAAAATTACACCTCAACACCTCTGGAGTTCCCACCGGTTCAGCAAACCTTCATCCCAGCTCCCGCTCCAGCCCCAGTTCCTCAGTTTACTCCAGCTCCTGCCCCAGTTCCAATGCCTCAATTTGAGCCAGCTCCTGCCCCCATCCCACAACCAACCCTGTACCAAGAACCCCTGTACCAACCCCATCCAATGCAGCTGCAGCTGCAGCCAGAACCGCAATTCTTCCCACAACAACAACAACAACAACCCATGCAACAGCACCACTCTGAATTCGTGCACCAGCAGCAGCTGCAGCAGTACCACTACCAGCAACAGCACATGGAAGAAGAGGTCTACAAGAAAAAGTCCGTCAAGGAAACCAAGCAGCTGTTCGAACAGACCATTCAACAGCAGGACTTCAAATCACCGCGCATGTTTGCACAGGTGGCAGCCCAATCGCCCACGCGCCCAATGACTCTGCCGCCGGACTTTGGCTACAGCCCGGCCGAGATAGGACTCGAGCCGGGACCGCAGCCCACGATGGGCTACGCTCCGAAACTCTCGAACGAACGCAAGAGCTCCTACTATCGTGAGAAGATCGAACAGTCGCTGTTCGAGAGCATGGATAAAGTGCCGGAACGTGTTCCGGCTGGCGGTGTCAAGATTATCCCGCCGAGCCCTCGGAAAAAGTCACAGACCCCGGGACAGTCGGATACCGCCGGGATGCCTCCTGCTTCGTTCGAGCAGCCGTCGGAAGCTAAGGGTACGCCCACCGTGGCGCCCGCCAAGAGTCCCTTCACGGCCACCGAAAGCGAATGCGAGAGTGACCTGGACGTGACCAGGAAGATGAACGGAGTCAGCTCCGGCTATCTGGCTGATACGGAAGAGGTCCAGAAGCAGACGATGCAGACGGTTTCGTTCAGCAGCAGCAGCGAGCAGAAGGTAGAGAGCTTCAGCAGCAGCAGCAAGACGGAAAGTGTCGTGCTAGGCTCGTCGGCTGAAGTGGTTCAACAAGAGGAGCATAAGGTCGAATCAATTGAAGCGACGAAGGTCGAGAAGGTTGAGGACGCTGCACCGACCGTGACCGCCGAAATCGCTGCTACCGAGGTTCAACCAGAGCAGCAGCAGCAAGAGCCGCAGCAGCAAGAGCAACAGCAGCAAGAGCAACAGCAGCAAGAGCAGCAAGTGTCGGAGCAAGTCGTCGCCGAAACCACCACTACGACCACCACCACCACCAGCAGCAGCAGCACCGAAGAGGTTACCAAGGTTCGCAAAATGCTTGACAGCCACTTGATTGATGTTTGTGTGCGTGATCGTGCGTGAATTGTCTTGTCTCCGCTTGGAAAATTGAGAGTCATTATTTTAAGTTGCTTTTTGCATGCCGAATTTTTATGATTTTCCGCCTTTTTTCGCCAAACTCAAACGAGTGTCCGTAACCCTAGCACCACCGAGTAAACGAAAAATCAGACCAAACCACGAAAGTGGAATCGATCTATGTCAAAGGTTTATTTTTGCTTCCTACCCAAGATCAGCTCGACACGGCGGCGCAGCCAACGTCACACCCGACCAAACAGGCCCAGACTGCGCGCGCAAAAATAACAGAAAGCATCGACGCGGGCGCACGCAAAAACGACGACCAAGACGACCACGACGCTTCTTTGCAATTTGTGTGTCAATGTGAAATTCCTGGCTTTGAATTGTTGCCCGTTGCAAATTTCTGCTTCTAATTGGCTTTTGTTTCTTTTTACTTTGATTTTTCTTTTTCCTGATCTCTGAATAGGAGCCCATCAAGGTTCAAGAAGAAGGACCGAGGAACTTCCTCGCAAACGATGACCTTCCGGATGATATGCAACCGGTGAAGGTACTTCCAACGGAAGAGCCTCTGCCAACGCTGAAACATGTTCCAGTTCCAGCTGCCGTCCAGCCGGTAACAGAGCCAGAGCATGTTCCGCTAGTTCAGGAACTACCACCACAGCTAGTGGTTGAACCCGCCGCGGCTTTACCAGTGGTCACTCCACAACAGAATGGATACCCATCGGCGAGCGAATACGGAAACGATTTCGATCAAAAGATCACTCCGGCTTGGCAACCAACCCAAACTGATGTAGGCTACAAATCAGTCCACCCGGTGTTCAACGCACCAAAACCACACGAAACGGGTCCAGCTGCACCACCCCCATCAGTATTCGATCCGATTGACAAGGTTCAAACAACGACCCTTCAACAACCCCAACAGTTTATCGACAGGATCGAAAAGCCCAAACCGATCAGCTATACCCAAAGTACGACCACCCAGCAGCAGCAGTCGGAGTCCTCATCCTTCCAGTCTTATCAACAGCAGAGCTTCCAGCAGCAACAAGAACAACAACACCACGTTTCCTTCCCACCGGTTGAAACAGCTCCGGCTCTGTACTACACCTCGGTAACTGCTCAACCAGTGCACAGCACGATCGCAAGCGAAACCTCCAACACTATGCACATGAAGGAAACCACAGAGACCAGCAACCGCGTGGTCAACATGTCCCAATCTCAACAGGTCGTCAATCTGGAGTCCGCCAACCAGTTCATGGCCCAGAATGCAGGTCGCTTCACTCCTGGAGAGTACCGCGAAAGTGACTACGAATCCGACGGATCTCGTATCCGTCCACTCTGGACTCCACATCCGTCGGACAGCGATGAGCCGCACTTCCGCAGCGTGCGACCACAGTTCAAACAACCACGCTCGGCTAGCGTTCCGCGATCCGGCGAACACATCCAAACCCCCATGGAGTTCGACACCGGTCCGGTGCTGATGCCGTCCAAGATCGTCACCACCGTCGAGTCTACGAACCAACAACAAAGTCAAACCGTCGAGACCGTCGAAGTGTTGCAAACCCAAACCCTCGATCGCAAGTCCTCCTTCAGCTCCAAACGACTTGCCACCTCGCACGTGTCCAACCTGCGCGATGACATGGCTGTAAAGGCCCACAAAGTGGCCCCGATCAACTACATCCAGAAGGCGACCAACCAGGCGGAAAGTATGTCCCAGTCGTTCAAGACCAAGGCGTACCACTTTACCAACGAAGTGATGACCGACATGCGCAAGGCTCCGATCAAACCGATCCTGAAAAATGCCTTCGGCTATCAGGTCCCGGTGGTGCAGGCCGCCCCTCCGGCTCCCACTGCAACAACTCCCACGCCGACGGCCGACAGCAACGCCCAGGCCTACCGCGAGGAATCACGGGTGTCCCAGTACGGTGAGTACCCATTGATCTATATTGATTTTTTTTGTTTTACATTTCGATGCAGTTTGAGGCACAGTGGTCCAGGATGCAAATTCTAAGGGGTTAAATATTATCTTTCCTCTGCAGTCGTATTGTGTAAGTCAAGCTTAATTATTCCTGCCACGCTAAATTTGCATTCTACAGTCTACTGTCGCCACAACACTGATGGCCATATAGCAAACAATTCGCCGGAATCCCATATTGCTTCCCATCGGACCATGAGCGCCTCAAACTGCATCTATTTTCGGACCAACCAACCAACCAACCAACTGTGTCTTTCAATCCCATTCATCCGGCGAAGTTTCGATTTCCTCATTTTTATTTACTCTCGTTTATATTCTCTCTATCTATCTTTCAAACGTGTATGATTTGCGTTGATTTGTTACGTTCTTTTGAGTTTGTTTTGTGAGTTTCGTTTTCTTTTCTTTTTTCAAGTCTTCATATTCTGTTGATTTTTTTGCGGGTTTTCCCCCTTTCACTCACCCTTCACGATCCCACTCATTCATTGTTCAGAAAACTGTTCCCACAACATTCGTGCGATTTTATAAATAACATCCCAATTTTTCTCGATTACAACATACATGTGTTCCCCTCGACGCCGTCGTCGTCGTCTTCATCGTCGTTCATCTCGGTGTCGGTGCAATAAAACCAAATATTTTCGGCTCCGATCTTCGAGAAACGCAAAATTAAATCCCATCACAAATCACCGACTCATAATTTGTGTCGCAAATGTCCTTCGAAATCAAAAAAAAAACACTCCCATACAAAAACCAAAGGCACCAAACACGTCGATCCGGACACCGGAATCATCTACTTCAAGTACGATTTCGGTTACGAGTTCGGTATCATTTTCCCGGGCGAAGGCCACCGGATCATTGCCGGAGCCAGCCGGAACCGGAACCAAAAGCTACTCACCAACGGTGCCGGCGGTGACAGACAGAAACACCCACTCTACCAAAGTGCTTCCCCGTTCGGCCGGTCGGGAGCCACCTCCGTTGAGGTTCCGGTCATACACGAACGCACCAAAGACTACTACCGGAACTGTAGTCCCACGCCGTTCCGACGGTCAGCTTCGGTTCCGGCGCCGGATATGCAAGCCAGTCGCTACCAGCAGCGGTACAATTATCCAGTTCCAGCCGGAACAGGAACACAGCAGGGAGGTAGTGGACGTTCTACGCCCCGTGTTGGCTACTTTAGACCCCTGTCCCGGTGCACCACCCCAGGTTAGGAGACGCACGCCTCTGTGTCTTGTCCCCAGTAATGATGTCGATGTCGATGTAGCTCTGGCCCGGCTTTTTTTCTCTAATCATGCTTTCGATGTTGTTAGTTTCTTTCCGGGATTTTGATTGATGATGACGGATGGAATCTCGTGTATTACTTTTATTTTCTGTGACTGCATTCCCTCTGGATATTTGTTGTTCGATGTCAATCTTGATCCGATATGTTGTAGATCAGTGAAATCCCCGTCGTGTTTGCTACTAACAAGCACTGAATAATGCTTTATTGTGTTCTGATTTGAAGTCACCAAAACGATTGCAACTTACTAATAATATTGAATATAGGAGCAACCGTTGGCTGTAGTGGATTAATATGACAAACGATGCAACGTAATCTACTTTGAATAATTTTATCAGAACTGTTTATCACAAATCTTATATGTTTGTATCCTCATATTGTCGCTGGTATTCCCAAGGTTACATTTTGGGCTGTCTTTTTGTTGAAAAATTGAGGTTTGATTCTCAAATGGCGTATAACTAGATTTATATTTTTGTGATCCCAAATACTAAGAAACAAATACAGAGATTTTTCAGTCGAGTCATTTGGTGTCTTAAGTGAAGTTTTTTTTTTTTTCTTAAAATTATCCTTCTTTTGGTGCCTTTAAACATTAGTGTGATCCTTTTATTTTTTGAAATCCAAAAACTAACTTTCTTATTTAAAAAATAAAGACACGCATTATTCGAAGAAGTTGTTGGTGATTTAATTTCAAAAAAATTGTTTGCATCTCTTACCGTTTTCATTTTAGAGAAAAAAAATTCTGAACTACGTAAGGGTGCACCCAAAAAAATCAGTTTTTTAGCTCTAACTTTTTTTATTTCAAATTTTCGTAAAAACTGGATATTAAAAACTTTTAGAACTCGTCAAAATACACAACTTTGCTCAAGAAAAAAAATCCGTATTTCTCGACTATCAAAAGATATTGATGATTTTCTATACAAAATAGGTCCTTTTCAAATGTCTTTGAGTGGTTGACATTTGTATGTACAGACATTTTTGAGCCATCTTTTGAAAGGACATACTTTAGTGTATATTGTATAGAAAACTGGAGGTACATTTTTTTCTTTATCTTAAGTTAAACTAATTTAAGTTCACTCACTTTTGCAATTAAATTTGGTAATAACTCCTTCTAAAAAAGAGGAAGAAACGATATTTTAAAAGAAAAACTTATGTCTTGGTAAGCATGAGCATGAGCATGATTGACCGCCCACGGTTGCTACTCTGTTATTGCCAGACCAGCTGTAATTACACAGAGAACCAAAAGACGATGCTTGGGACTAGCAATCATCCTCAATGTGTAAAAACTGTTGATCTCAAACTAGGCAATACCAGCGCCGGCCGCGCCCGAACACAGGTCAAGAAAGGAAGGGGTAGGAATGTGTTGACGTGACACTCGCTTTTATGGAAGCCGAGAACACCTCTGCACTTCCACGAGGAATCACTAGGATATTGGGTAACAGGGTTGGGTTTGCAGCAGGGCTCGTTTTGGTAAACGATAAGCTGAATTGGGATTGAACCCACTGTCTTCTGCTCAGTAAGTAAAAACGTTTGCCACTAGGCAGACGAGCTCCTTTTTAATCATCGAGTTGCTGTTATTACCATGTAGTCATGTTAACAAATAAAACGATTGACGAATCTTGAATGTGGATGGGCTTGAGATTAGACTCATGATGTTCTGCTCAGTAAGCATAAACGGTTGCTCTAAGGCCACCGAGCCCCTCATATTACATTGTTACTCAAGTGTGTATAACTATTCAAACCCGGCACCGACGACAACGAAAAGTTTTACAAAATACACGATAACAAGCGATCTTACCATGCATTTTTAATATGAAAGGACCTGGGACCGCGTTTTTCTGCTCAGTTAGCAATCCACTGCAACCGATGACCTTTGAAATCCTAAAACTAAAAGCTACGTAGGCCTTCATTAAGATCCACTTTCACGCGACGTTCAATGTTTCGATTTTCTCTTTACGCATGGTTCAGGCAATCATAACAAGCTATGACCGACGTGACGATTGTTTAAGACCTGGTTAAACAAGCTATTCAAATGAAATTACGTTCTCGAATTTCGCTTGGCATGTAATGAACAACACAAATACGCGATAATTCATATTTTCAGCGGTTGATGGTTAATTTTAAATATACTAACGGTACTGCCTACGACTACGACGGCGTCTACGACAACGACAGCATAGAATTTGTAACTTACCATTTGTCTAGGATAAACACCTTTGCCCGGCACCTCCACTATAGTCGCTGTATTCACCATCTGGCGGACAGAATCTCGATCAATCAAAAAGCGGAACCAATTCAATATGTTGACCAACAATTGAAAAGGCACTTTAAACTTTAATAAACAAAATGTTAATTATTCTTTCCTCGTCAATTGAACGCAAATTGCCCACATCATCGGATAGGGGAAACTATCCCCAATCCGAAGATGGTGTTAGTTTGCGTAGGCGAGCCATGAGTCACGAGAAAAGGCTTTCAGAAATTTTGTTCGCAATAGCTGATGTGCTCTTTTCTGTTCCTTTTTGCCTTTTTGGTTTGTTTTTTTTTTTCCGTCGATCTTGTTTTCCGTGCTGAGCACCAATGCTACCGACGTGCCAGGAAGGCAGCTCCCACACCTGGACCCTACCTATCGACCCATCAACTCATGCACCGGGGACCAACGGCTTTACTTCCCATCCGAAGGAAGGCGTGATCAGAGATGTTATGCCTCAGAACATACCGGCGGCGCCGACTGGGATTGAACCCAGGCCTGCTGGGGTGAGAGGTGCTCTTTTCTGTTGTTGGTCGTGATTTGCTCGATTGGTTCCGCTATTCGACAGCTAAATTGGTTCCCGAGATTCTATCCGCCAGACCATGAATATAGCGACTATAACCTCCACTGGTTCTTCATGTCCGCTATCTGTCACTGTTTGCAAAATATCTAATAGCAATTACCTTTGTTACCGTTGTCATCACACAACGCAGATAGCGTCAAATCTTCTCAAGAAAAACTTATTTCTAGGTAGACTAAAAAAGTCTTTCTAATACTTTTTTTATGTAAAATTGTAAATTAACAGGAAACGGTCAAGAAAAGGTTATGAAATGACTACCCAAACAAAAAAAAGTTAGCTTCTTGTAATATCGAAAGTTGTCAAGTAGATTTGAAAGGAGACCATCATTTGAGTACGTCGTGTTCATTATTCGTTCAATTTATTTAATTAAAATTAAAAATTAATTCTAATCTAATCCGCCAGTAGATATTTTGCATTATCTGGTAATTCTAAAGCAGATTGATTTTGTGAAGTCCTTTTTTTAAGGTAAATTAGGGGGTCAGATGTCAAAAGCTACCTCAAAAATAAATCTTCAATTTTAACAAGCCTATTGAACTTTCGCGCGTAAAATTCTCGAAATTTCCTAATCGACTTATTACGCGTTTCCTGCGCTTCTTCGCTGCACAAGCCAATTGGTAGTATGGTGTACTTAATCAATGTCGCTCCATGAATCGATAATTTATGGACCGTTGGCAACAGCCGATACCATCCATATTCAATAACATATAACCTATGCGTTTCTTCTGCGTAAGAATGGTATGCTTCGTAGTTGATTTGCTTACGGCTGTTCACGATCATCAAAATCACATGCATGCGCTCCATTATATCCCTGTCTAACACTGTGATTTCGCAGACCACATTGAATTGTTGGAAAAAATTTCTGGCGGTATTCCCGTCGGTAGAGTTTCCACCTCCAGGCAACGGTTCACCTATCCGAAGCCCCTGTCGATTTCTTATTTCTGTAGCAATATACTTTTCCCTGTCTTTTACTGCGGCGTTAGTTTAAGGGAACCGCCAAACAGGAGTTTCCATACACAACCATTGAGCGGATGTACGCATGCAAAGGAGAAAATGCATGTTTAAACCGTTCAGGATCATTATCTGTTTCATCTTAAATAATTCAAATTTTTCCCAGAACCACCGCAGATGTAACATGCTTGGGACACTGTTCCGGTAACGTCGTTTATAACTTTCGTGTCTGCCATAGTAAAAAGCATTTTATTCGTGACGCTTACAAGTTTTTCACCAACAGCACACATTGATGGTTGAAATGTCTCAATCTTGAATGTTACCATAATTATAATCAGATTTTTCCAAATAAAAATAAGAAATAAAAAATTACCTTCTGCTTCAAAACAGACACTTCGTGCTTTTGAAATAATAATTGTATCGGCCTGCACAAAGAAACCGATGAAGGGTACTCATTATCCCACAGAATAACTTGGCCAGAATCAACATTGTTTTCAACATATAAACGCACAGGAACAAAAAAAGCATAAAAATATGACTGTCCAAATAACTCGTCAGATCTCCATCGTCATTCTCTTAAAAAAAAAAAGGTTGCTGGTATCTATTTAGAATAAACATGTATCACATAAACAATGAAAATATGTATGAAAGTCTTTAAATTACCTCGAATGGTTTGAGCTTCCATCACAGCCCCATTTCGAAATAAGCACCACGTTTCCTTCAAAATCTTCATCCTTTAATTTACCTTTTGAAAAATCTATGAGCCTTTGAGTGGTATGATCGAGGAGTTGTTGCCATCCCACTTCTGAACCTGAGGGCTTGATGGTGATTCCTTAATGATAAATTAAATTAAATGCTTTTTTCTCTTTGGAAAAATATTTCAAATTACCTTCCGATTAGCATAGCTTCTTGTCATCTACAATTTTATTGTATGGAGGATAAGACCTGCCTTAAGACTTGTCGTTCTTATGTCGACGTATTGCGCTTTTGAAAATCCATTTTTGCATAAAAACGCCAGTGCTTCGTCTGCGCACAAGGGCTTAACGGTTGGCGAATGTTTTGCTGATGTTGGTGATGATTGAAGATTATCCAAAAGGTGCTCTATTAATTTCCCAGTTTTCCTTTGACCCGATGCGTTCAGCAAACTTGCCAAA